ACCACTGAGCCACCATGCCGCCCCAAATTCTGCTACTGCTCTTGTTCATCAAGCTTTCTGCATAATGAATCTTCAATTTTGATTGCCCCTGTTTATGTTATGAACACATTATAATATTGAATGCCCCCTTTTCTGTTCCAACAAGGAGTCCCAGTTTCCATGGCCTCTCATCATAGCAAACAGAAAAGTCTGGTTTAGTAGTTATGACCAGAAAGGCAGCATTCCATAAAAGTTATCAGGTTTCTGAATCAACAACGATCTGAATCCTGAAAGTGAGATCATTGCTGTGGGTGAATTTCTCTCTAACTCATCAGTGTGAAGCATAGCACTGGCAATTGGTATCTCAGTAGACGTGAGCAAGTTGCTGTGCTGGGAACTAATTATTGGTCTTGATTCTGGCATGTAAAAACTACTCTCTCAGGAATACTGTTCAGTGAATTGCCAATGCTTTCCAGAAATAATTCCTTAATCTTTTGAATCCTAGGTTTGATGTAAGGCCACGTTATTACTTTCCTCATTTTCAGGAAACATGATAACTTTTCCAAGAACGAAATGTTAACATATGTTGATGATAGCTTCATCTTTATTAAGTACTGTGTGCATTCAGAGATTCTTAATGTGCTTAAAGAAAACTTCACAACGTTTTTTCCCGACAAACTGTGCTCTAGTTTTGCAGAAATCATTTATTTATGCACACCAAAATGCAAGTTGTTCAGAAATCTATAGCAGAATAGACCATTAGTAATGATGTGATTATTTATTTAATATTATCTTTAGAGAGAATGAAGAACAGGTGAATGAGATTATCTTCAGATTACATATAAAAATGTTTCTTGAGTTGTCTATTTTACCCAATTTGACTTATTTCAGTTTTCTAATACACTATTATTAAAGCTGAATTCTGTGTGCTGTTAAAACATATGTAACAAAGCTTAAACAGCAATTTGATATTGGAACAGGTACATTTTTATAAAATATGTTAAAGAAGGACACTAATCTGTTTATGGAGATGAAATCCCTTGCAACAGCAAATCCTGCCTTTCTACCTTCTCTCCAAATTCCAAGATCTCTCCATTTACAGCATTCAAATTATTATAGATGAAACCAAGGAGGAGACATTCTGTAGCACCCGAAAGCTGGTGTTGGATGTAGGATTAAATCATAGTAACATTCAACTAATTATTACATGTGCTGTTGAGTCACCAGGGACCCCAAGTCCATACCTGGCTAGCACCACCTAAAGCAAGTCTGCACTATTTTAAGCAGGCCTGTACCCCTTAAATGAAGGCCCATTTAGGCTGCAACAGTTGCTGGAAGTAGCTGAGGATGATCGCCTGAACTGCAAGATGAATGAGTATGGCGTAAAATTGCAGACAACATGCTCCAAGATTCTCTTACACAGTATTTCAGGCCTTGGTGGTCCTTTGTATGCAGAGTGTTCAGAAGGCAAATGGAGTGAGGCAGTGGAACCAGATAACAGACACAGTCAATTCAGGCAGTATTACTCTGTGGTCCTAGAAGCAGTTGTCTGTGTCTCACCAAATGGAATCATCCTCAAATGTCTTTTCCCTGCTACTGAGGTACTGTTCTAATCACTACACTGGCTTTTTTCAGTCTCTATAAACCACAGTACATCCTAACATTCATACTTTCACTGCACCCATTGTTTTAAATGTATTCTTGGAAACTGGACATCACTTGTTAATCTGGCATTTATTGTCCATCCTTAATTGCCCTGGATAAGGTCATGCCGTGTTGCCATCTTTAATTGTTGTGGTAATGGAGAGTAGGAATTTTCACATTGCTGTTAGGAATGGAGTTCCAGGATATTGACCCAGCAGAAATTGAGGAATGATATTATAGTCACAAGTCAGGATGGTGTGTGACTTGGTGGGAACTTGCAGATAATGGTGTTCACATGCATCTGCTGCCCTTGTCCTTCTAGATGGTAGACATTGCCTTTTTGAAAGATGCTGTTTAAGGAGTCTGGGCAAGTTACTGCAGTGCATCTTGTGGATGGTACTGCTGCCAATGTGCATTGTGGTGAAGGGAGTGAATGTTGAAGGTAGCAGATGGTGTGCCAATAAAGCAGGATGCTTTAATAGCAAAACACAACAAATGCGGGAAATCTGAAATAAAAGCAGAAATTGCTGGAGCTGGCAGCATATGCAGAGATAGAAGCAGAGTTAATGTTATGAGTCAGGTGTGATTATTCTTTGAAACTAATTTTTGAAGATATTGACAGTAGAGAGTTCAACCATGGTAATGCTGTTGAACATCAAGAAGTGATGGCTGGATTCTCTCTTGTTGAAGATGGTCATTGCCTAGCATTTATGTGGTGCAAATGTTACCTGCCACTGATCAGCCCAAAGCGAGATATTATCTGGGTCTTGCTGCATTTGGACATAGAATGCTTCAGTACCTGAGGAACTGTGAAGTGATGAACGTTGTGCAACTATCAGTGACAGTTCCCACTTCTGACCTTCATGATGGAGGGAAGGTCATTGATGAAACAGCTGAAGATGGTTGGGCACAGGACACTAACCTGAGGAACTCCTGCAGAGATGTCCTGAAACTGGGATGGATGACCTCCAGCAATCACAATCTATCTTTGTAATAGGCAATGCTCCAACCAGCAGAGTTTTCTTCATGATTACAGTTTTGCTCGGGCTCCATAATGCCTAACTCAATCAAGTGCTGCCTTGACATCAACAGCAGTCATTGTCACTTCTGTAGTTCAGCTCTTAGTTCCATGTTTAGACAAATACTGTAATGAGTTCAGGAGCTGAGTGGCTTTGGCAGAACCCAAGCTCAGCATCTGTGAGCAGGTTATTTCTTTACATTTGTCACTTGATAGCATTGTCAACAATCCTTTTCTTTAAATCGATGTGTGAGAGTAAACTGATGGGACAGTAATTGGCCAGACTGGATGTGTCCTGCTTTTTGTGCCGAGGACATATCTGGGTAGTTTTCCACAATGTTGGGTAAATGCCAGTGTTACATAGAAACATAGAAGACAGGAGCAGGAGGAGGCCATTCAGCCCTTCATGCTTTCTCCGCCATTCATCTCTACAACCTAATCCTGCTTTCTCCCCATAACCTTTGATCCCATTCACCCCAAATGCTAAATTTAGTCGTCTCCTGAATACATTCAATGTTTTGGCAACAACTACTTCCTGTGGTAATGAATTCCACAGGCTCAACACTCTTTGGGTGAAGAAATGTCTCCTCATCTCCGTTCTAAATTGTCTGTTGTAGGTGAACTGGAACAGCTTGGCTAGGGACTGTTTCTGGAACACAAGTCTTCAGTACTATTGTTGGAAGTTGTAAGGGTCTTTGCAATATCCGCTGCTTTCAGGCATGAGTGGTCCTTACCTAGGGCAGGGGGTAAGGATAGCAGTGCTAGGTTGCTGGATGACAAGGTTGCATGTAGGTTCTGCTGCAGAGGAATCAGATGAGGATTTGCTGAGGTGGCTAAGAAACAGAAGCTGACAGGTATGCACAGAGAACTGCTTGATGCATTGGCTGGCACCTCAGAAAGATTATGATCATTGTCAAAGAGCATGGAGGAGTCTGGCAACAACAATATGCATGTCTTTCCAACAAGGAAATGTGGCCAAGATGAAAACACTTGTAAACCTAAGCAAAATGCAGGGTCTGCTGGCAGAAGGCATGCAATGTCATGAGAGTTGCAGCGGAAATTCAGACTGAAGCTCACGCCAGCTCACTTTGTTAACAGGTAATTGTAACTTCCTGTCATGTAAGCTTGCGACAGCTGCCAGGAAGACTGCCTTAAAAGAGGGGCTGGCCTGCTCTCCAACGAATCTCGCAATCTGCCTTTAGTTGATTGCTAGGATTGGTGAGTGCTTCCCTGAGGCAGTGGCTGCATGAAGCATGAATCTACTGACTTCTCTCAGATAAAGCATGCATCCTCACCTCATTCCCACTCTTCCTGTGGCCTTGCTGTTGCCTGTCAGCCAGCGATCACAGTCTGCTGCTGGGTTATCTAGGGTTGCAGCTGAGCAGGGTCATTCTGACAGCTCGTCTGCAGTCTGCTCCACCGATGGACAATTGCCTACCAGCAGGCATATTGCAGCCACAAAGGTAGCACTGCCTTGACACAGGAGCACGAGCCAAGGCACATAGACAACAGGCATCTAGCACCACTATCACTGCTCATTTGTAAATGCAGACACAGATAGCTACAAGTGCAATGTACAGAGAAAAAATAACTTTTAGCATGAGATAACTGTGGAGCTGGAGGAACACAGCAGGCCAGGCAGCATTAGAAGAGCAG